AGCTGTTAATTATCTGAACCTCCGTGATTAAAAGTATAAATGAAAACCACCACACATCTTGCAAGCACTTACGTAGTGAATGCCAACAGTAAGAGTTTGCTTAGAATTTTTTCAGGCCCAGAAGTCTGAAATTTACACTGTGTATTTTTCCTAACATTTAGCTTTCTTACAGCTGAACATTCTAATGCTGAAACTAGTAATGGTCTTTGCTAAGCGTTTTTAATGTGCTTTGGAATTTGAGTATCCCATGGAATCCATTTAATTGGCACCCTCATTAACAGCCTGCCTGTTTGATCTGAATGAGTTTGAAGTGATTTGTTCCTGATTTGTCCTCAGGTTTTGTAATTTCCATATAGTAGGTGAGCGAGGCATTGCTCTTACCTACAGGGACTCTAGGCCCTGGATAAATGGCACACTGATTATACTGCATGCTGGTTCCTTCAGGTCTGTCTTAAGCAGCAGTGAGAAGGGGTGTTCACTGGCATGCATTTCGTGCTGTGTGACCGTTTGTTTATTTGTCTTGGGTTTCCTGTCCTCTTATGATTGCTAATGACTTAAATTTGCAGATGTTTTTAAAATTCTGTCCGAATGTATGCAGCCTAATCTGAAAGAAACACGTTCAATAAATGTTAATACTACTCAGTGTGCGATGTATTTTATAATCCTGTAAGAGTTCAGATGGTTTATTAAACGATTCAGGTGGATTTCTGTTGGGGCGTGCCAATTAAAAGGGATTCTGGGGTGTTTCAAAGCATTCAGGTGAGCTTGGCATTGCAGCTTCTTGTGGGAAGCTGAAACCTGTGAACATGCTCAGACTGGTTAAGGGGAACGCCCCAGGAATATTCCTGGGAATAGCATGACAGTGCAGGATTGAGGCCTCCAAGTCCTGTGGTTAGGAAAAAGACCCACTAGTCACAGAAGTGCAGGCAGGTTCCTGTCAGAATCTGTTTACTGAATGTAAGACCTACACTGTAGCCATGGAGCAGTCACCCTGTGCCCACCACCACCGGGAGCAATGTAGGGAGGTTGGAAGGGGGACATAATCGTCACTATGTGGATTATGTGGCCCTGCCTCAGCTCCTCATTTACTAACTGGCTGGCAGACTTGGGCTGAAATTCCCTGGATTCACAGCAAAATGCCACATGGGTGAGTGTCTCTGTAGGATACTACACAAGTGCCTGGCTAAAGCGAGTTTATTGAGGCTTCTTGTTGGAAAGAAGCTAGCAGAATGTATTCCGAGATTGTGCCACAGTTTTGAACAGCATCCAACAGCTGACCGTGAGTATATCCTGCACCAGCTCTTGAGTTACTTGGTGGTCAGTAATTAGTTTTTAGCAAACTCATTTGCCAGTGCCTATTGGCGTTAGATATGTCTTTTCTCTGTAATAGGTGCGTTAGTTATCACTTGGTGTGGTGAAACCCGGCAGTGAAAACCCTGTTGTGCTTGGCGCTGTAAAACCAGGCGAGTGAGAAGGCACCGAGGTAAAACCCAGCAGACAGATAGGCTGAGAGTAGGTTGGGAGGATGAGGTAAGGCAAAAACTAAAATAAGAGAAGAACCAGGGTAAAAGTGATGTACTCGCTTTGGGGGCGTGGGTGCTTTTTTTTGTTTGGACAGATAAACTAAACAGATCTCTAGAAAGACCTTCTGCCCTTTCCTGCTGTCTCTGGTGCCCTGCCATTTGCTCTCGTGCATGGCCTCTTGGATGCTGTGTACCCTGCTGATTTGCTGTGGGGAAGCAGCGGAGAGCCTCACAGAATGTCAGACCCAGCTGCAGCTAGGTGGAAGGATAGGTGTGGGTGCACAGGCAGTTCAGGGGGGAGAGCTCTTAAGGCCCAGTGCCTGCTGCCTCTCAGTGGGGTTTGTCTCTTGTTGGGACCTTGGCTGTGTTCCAGGAGCTGATGTATGACAAGGCCTTAGTACCTGCTTACTAGGCCATGAGTTTCCAGGTTTTAAACCCCAAGCAAACAAAAAAAACCCAAACGTAAAATAGCCAACAGCAAACCAGCCCTAACAACTAAAAGATGTTCCCTATAAAGTTGTGACCTGTAATATTTCCTTTCATTAATATTCTTGTTAGAGGCAACTGGACCACTCACTGTCACATTTCCTGGCTGAATGAAACCCTCATCTACTTACTGGGGGGAAAGATGCGGCAAGCCTGAACTAATTAATGTTAACGTTTCTCTCATGTACAGGTCTGAGTGTGCAGCTCCCATGGAAACTATGTAGCTCATTCCCTTTCATACTCATAGTTCTGTGTATCTTTATTTTCCGCATCCACCATTTTTTTTCTTCTAACCCTTTTTTTTTTTTTTTTTAAACTTTGACTTTAAATGCAGGCAGGTGATGATTTTCACAAACTGTGTTTTATTTTGGTATGGGTTGGAATCAGAGAACTGGAAGTTAATGCCATCTTAAGCCCAAAATAAAATGGTAAGCAAACACGCTGAATTTCAGAATTTCACAGTAGATTCTTCTTGTTCTACTGTAATGAGTTACAATTAAACATTTTCCTGTACTTACCAAACTACCAGACCAGTGGCTTTAGCAAATAGCATCATTGCCATTTTGTGCCTGAGTTATGAGTGTTACAGATGAACCTTGACGGCTGCTTGCTGCAAAATCAGGGCAATGAGCTTGGGCTGGGTTGGAGTGCTGTGTGGCTCATGTGCCGTAGCATCCTGGTTTCCTTTGGTAGTGCTGCTGACGAAAGGTTCTGGGAGGACTACGAAAACCCTGTATGTTGCTATTACTGGAATAAGTTCTATTTTGCTGTTTTCTCATGTAATCAAATAATACTCCAGATTCTCCAGTACTATGTTGCTGCTTGTTTCAGGTAGATTTTAGGAATGGTGCTAAGCCAGGCAAATGTGGCAAGCACACTGTAGGTAGAGTTAGTCAGGATTTTGCCTGACCTGAAGAGAGTGACCATCCCAAACCAGTGGTGTTCAGTGCGGAAGGGTGGGAGTCAGTGGTTCTGGCCACAGCTGTTAGGTAGCACAAGTGGTTGGTGTTTCCAAGTGAGTACTTTTATGTGCCTGAAGACAGTTTCAGACTTACTGTGTCACAAAGGCTCTGACCAGGGTGACAGTTCAAAATCCCAGCAGAGAGTTAACCTCCCACAGCACCTCCCACAAGTCTAGTAAATGCATCTGTGCTATCTCCTAATCCTCCAGGCTGTCAGTAGTGCTGATATTGTACCCGAATGTGAGTAGGGGCAGGTTTTCCTTGTGTAGCTTCCTCTGTTTTAGTGGTTTGCATTTCCCAATCTTGCTGTGCTGAGGACATGTGAGAACCGTCTTTGGATGCAGACTCTGTTCAAACATAGTGGGCGGTACCGGGCCATCTCAAAAAGATTTAAAGGAGGGTCCCCTGAACTGGAGGAAAGGGTGACTTGGTGAAGCACCTGTCTTTTAGTGAGAACCTGTTTTACCATGAGGAAGGGGATTATTGCTTAATTATTTATTTATCCCAGGATTCCTCCATACCTAGCTTAGTCAGTAATGTATAATGCAGCTCTGGAGATTGTGTTTTGTTCTGTATTCTTGCAAAGTGCACACATCACTACATCTGCCATACCCCTACTGATAACATTTGAAAAAAACCCAACCAAACCAAAACTCATAAATCTCATGTTAAAAAATACCCATGTCATGAAGGACTCTTTGTTTGGGTTTTAAATCTTCCTAAGTCACTGCTGAGATTCCTGAGTCACAAGTCATAAGAAACAATGATTTGATAAGCGTTCTGCATCAGAGGCTTAGGAAATGGAGTTGAGTTGGAGTCCTGCTCTGCAAAGCTGTGTATCTGTACCTGACTTTGAGACCATGAGTGTTGCTGTTGAGGTCAGGAAAGCAGTTAACAGAAGCATAGCTCCATAGAGGCTGTCAGCTCTCTGCTTGGAGATTGAGATGGGTTATTATTGTAAATGCAGCATTTCACAGGTTTGGCTCTTTGTGCCTTCCAGTGATGGAAAGCAGCTGTGAGTGATAGCGAAGCCTGTTTGCAGCTGAGTTGCTTCACTTGCATTTCATCCCAAAATGGCACAGAACACCCAAAGAATTCCTCCTCTCTGTTTTGTCATATGGTCAGCGTGTTACTGCAGATTATTAAAAACTGGTTTTGAGTATCAAAATGTAAGGAAGGAATTAGTTCAGTAAGTTAATTCTGCATGTAGAAAGATCACCAGGCAGAGAAAAGCTCTGTGAATATTTATACATCCCTAATTTTTACTGAGACGCACAAGATGTTCATATAATGCAGATGATGTATTCTAGCCTGAGAACTAGATTTTGAAATTACCTGTGCCCTTTCTGCCTGCTAATATTCCATTTTACTGGTATTTATGGCTGTTACCATAGGAGCAAGGATCAAAGAAAGTGAAGGTAGTATATTTGGTGGGTTTGGGGTGGGTTTTTTTGCTCCATGTGGTGCTCCGAGTTAAACCATGAAGTGTGATTCCCAAGTTGTACTTAGGCCCGCCCCTTGCAGTATTAAGGTGATGCTGTGAGGACCTACGTGAAATTTAAATAAACTGACATGCATCTCCCGTGGTGGATGGTGTGTGAAAGGGCTTTGTTGGTCAGAGTGGCCCAGAATGCCAAGGTATCTGGTTTCCAGTACCTGCCAGCCCTGTCCGACAAGGTTTGTCCATAGAGCCTGGTTTAGTACTTGCCTTCTTCATTTCACACCCCAGTCATAACATTTAACCTCTTACTTGATGTGTTGCAGTGTTTGATGCGACGTTATGTATAGCTGAACCAAACCTTCTGTTTCATCTATTTTGGTTTATCATTTAGAAGACATGCAATATCTGCCAGATGCTGCTTCCTAACCAGTGCAGTTTTGCATCACACCAGAGAATTCATCAGCATAAATCTCCATACACGTGTCCCGAATGTGGAGCAATCTGCAGATCTGTCCACTTCCAGACCCATGTCACTAAGAACTGCCTGCATTATACCCGAAGAGTTGGGTTTCGGTCAGTATAATGATTACTTTTGTTGTCAATTTCTGTATAATTTATGTTTTTAAGAGTAATTTTCGATTTTCAGAGGCATTGTTTTTGGATTACAGCTTCACAGGGTTAATGTTGTCATGGCAACAGTGCTATTAGTACCACAAATTTTGGAACAAATACCCAGTTAGTCTGGTTTGATTTGGGCATCCACTGTTTGCAGATTATTAAATCAGAATATTGGCAAATCTCATCCAGCCATAAAACATCAGATTCAGGATCTTGCAGTTTATAAGGTCAAGAGAATGCAGAGCTATTTTCTTAATTTCAGGTTCTTAAGAAAACCTTTTGAGGTTGGGTTTTGGTTTTTTTTGAAAACACTGAATTTTAGATTGTTCTCTCTAGTAGAATGGTAATTTTCAGTATTTACCACCAGAGTTTGTTACTGAGGTGCTGATGGGCGTACTGCACCTGTCTGGTTAGTCTCTTTTTTGTGTGAAGTCAAGATTCCTCAGCTTTACATCACTGGAAAATTACCTTTCTTGCTCAAACAGCCTGGGCTTTTGGTGGTTCTTTGTTACTCCTCTGTTTCCCTTCTATTCTTCTGCTTCCCTGTAATGGCAACTCACTGAGAAAATGGGGATCAGACGCATTTCCTGGAAATACTAAGTTTTGAAAGACATGGGAAATTGTTTTATCTTAGGCTGTTCCTCACACTGAATGTCCGGCAGCACAGCAAGAGATCAGAAGAGCAACCCATACAGCCTGGCTTTGCTCAGCACTCGTAAAACATTTCCACTTCATCCTCTCTGACTGGAGAAGGGTCATTTAAAGTATTACCAGTAGGCAGCTGCTTCCCCTCAAGGTGCTCCAGGTTCCTTTACCTGGATCGCTGTGCAATCTTCTGCTGCGGCAAGAAAGCGCTTTTACTGCATTAAGCCAGCTGTTGTGGCAGTCTGTTTTCACACTGAATCCATGGCCTGACACAACTCTCAGCTCTAGGACTTTCTTGGGGTTCTCCTCTTATTTTTTTTTTCCCAGGCAATAGTCTGTCCTGTCCTACATCTGCTACCTGCACACTACTTCCCTCCCTTCTAGTCTGTGTCTCTTGGGTTTATACATGGAATCTTCGTAGGATCTCCTGGCCTGCACCAGTAACACCAGAGAGTCATAGATCTTCATGGTGAATCTAAAGTAACTAAACTTTTCAGGGTGCATCGTAAACATGACATGGCACCATCGAAATTTGTGTATGTAGCGAGACTAAACCAAAATACCCAGACAAAGAAAAGCTGTCTCTGGGAAAGTTAATGTCTGCCCTCGCAGACTCCGCAGCATCTCCTTGTCACCGTGGTGTGTTTGCTTGAGGCACAGTGTAACCAGTCTTGCCTTCCTGAAGGACCTCGGGAGTTCAGCTTGATTTTGGTGACCATGGCTGGTTGTCTGAACTAAGTAACCGAAAATTTCAACCTTCAGTGTAGTTGTATCCTTCCGAGCTGAAAGCAGGGAAGCTGTAGCAAGGGAAGGAAGGCTGGGTCTCTAAGGGCTGTTTTAACACCGTGCTGAGGGTCATTGAATGTGGTGTGTCACTAGAGTGTGAACTCCAGACAAGATGGGATGGGGAGGTGAGGGATGCAACCCAGCTCTCTTGAGGTGACACCAGAGATCTGTAAGGAGAGAGGATCATGCTTGGTTACAGCTACGGAGTGATGTTCATCTCTGTATAAGCAGGGAAGATCTAAACAGACTGGACGAAGACAAGGAGCATTGACTTTAGGAAACACATTGGTAACCAGAGACCAGAGAGATAGAAACTTGATTAATCATAGTAAGAATGTAAATTAAAAGCTCACAAAAGCAAGGATGACACTTCTAAAATTGAAAGGTGATACATTTCAAAAGGAAAATGGGATTCTTGGATGAAATGTATATTTCCTGCTCTATTTCTATCATCAGGGCACTGGAACAGTATCAAACAGCAATTTGATGTTTATATGACAACAGTCATACTGCCATGATAGATTCCAAAATTAAAATTTTGGAGGGGTAGAGCCCTTCTGTGTTTACATTGTAAAACTCTTGTTGCAAAATACTGGTCAGTAAGAGGTTTGTTCACTTGCTGGGTCCTTTTGTAATTCCTTACTGCAGCATGTTCTTGGGCTTACGCGGTAGCGTTCAGCACTGGAGACGTGTGGGGACGAGACGAGAAGGGACTGTTGTGTGTAGGAATTCTTATGTACTGATATTAACTCAGTGTTTTAATCATTTCATTTTAGAAGAGACGTGGAAAGGTCACACATTTTCGACACCGCTGAAGTTTGTTTTTGAAAAATATTTTCAGAATTCCAGTCTGATAGACTGATCCAGCTGTAGAGATTCGGTGTAATTGGCCTAAGTTTCAATTACTCTCCTTTGTTCTTAAATCCGAGTGCTGATTTGATTACCTGTGCAGAAAATCATTACCAATAATATGTCTTCATTAAATCCAAATGAGGGATGTGGTGGAAATGTTTTCTTTGCTGGTCGTGCTGTGGCGTACCATGTACAATGCACTGCATGTGATAAAAATGTGTTTTGTAGCATCTCTTTACAAATTTGCAGAGGATTTAATCATTCTTTTTAAGATCAATGGAATACCTCTCCGTCAGCCTTTCTGTCTGTTTTTTTGTAATGCCATTAAAACATGTTCTGGCTTCATCTCTCTTAGATTTTCAAATTAAATGTGGGAAATTTCTGTTTTCTTACTTTCTTACATGCAAATCTCTCTTTAATTTGTATCTTACTGGGTTGTTTAAATTGACAGAATAACATAGTTTTTTTCTGGTGGCAGAGATATATATAAATGTTTATCTATTCAGCTTGCTTGAAAATCAGTGTTGATTTGGTTTCTTTGGGTGCTGCTTCAGGCGAGGCTGAACTGACTCTCTCCCACTCTCTTTGCAGCTGCGTGCATTGCAATGTTGTGTACTCTGATGTGGCGGCACTCAAGTCTCACATTCAAGGTTCTCACTGTGAAGTCTTTTACAAGTGTCCTATCTGTCCCATGGCTTTTAAATCTGCTCCCAGCACACACTCCCATGCCTACACACAACACCCGGGTATCAAGATAGGCGAACCAAAGTAAGCAAAACTGATCTTCTACTGCACTTGCCTGCCTTTTAATATCTGTGAAATTGCATTCTGTCCTGTGCTTGTAAAGTCATGTCCTGTACGACCAGCAGTTCCTCATCCTGTTGGTAACGTGGTGTTGGTGTAATGTTTTCATGCGGTTTCACCTGGCAGTTTGTTTGGCAAAGGTTGAGTTTCCATGAAGATAGCAACAGCAGCTGCATGCTGCAAGACAGGAATACAGGAATGGTTTGGACCGGCAGCTAGTGTGTTGCTTGTTCCTACTTCTGAATCTGCTTAGCTCATCAGCATTTTTCCTGGGAATTACAGCATGATTCCAGAAGGATTTGCTAAGACTCCTTGGGGCTCATGCAGTGATTTTCATACTGTCAGGTTGAAAAGCTGGGGAAAAAGTGACATTGGGATTTTTCAGTCACATGCTCAGAGGTCGTCAGTTCTCAGGGTGAATTGGGAATGTTAGTTGTTCAGTGCCATCAGCTCATGGGGGTCCGGGCATTCACTTGGGAGGGAAGGCTGTCAGCTCTGGGTTGGCTTGTGCAGTTCTTGCAGGCTGTGGCCACCCCTGATATCTTGGTCAGGCAGCCACTCGCTTATCCTGCAGATCTGCTCTCCTGACTACTAGATACTTCTTCAGGAAAGCCGTAGGTTTAGGGGAGTGGTCAGCTAGGCTCTTGCTTGCCTAAGACAGTCATGTCTCCAATGTATTTGTAAGTGGGAGGTGTCAGCCTTTAAACCTTTTCCAGCCTTGCCTCTTTGAATCAAAACAGATGCATTTATAGGGCTTTTTTCCAGTATGCAGTCTCTTTTCCTCTGGCTTAAAGCAGAACTGATTCTGCTCCGTAGAATCCGTAGGTGGGAATGTTGTGCATGAACATGGCGTTTTTCTGAAGATGGTAACAAAGGGACTAGATAGGAACTCAGCTTCAGGGTCGTCGTTTCACATCTGACACTGAAGGCCTCCGCTGAAGCCAGCAGGAGCAGCAGGTGCCAAAGTCAGGCTTCAGGTCTCATCATAGACCACCTTCTTCTGCGTTCTTCCTCCTCTGTTAGTAGAGTGCAGGACTGGGGGTAAATACTCAGGGTTTTAACTCCATGTAGCTTCTCTGGAGTGTGCAGAGCATGCTGGTGCATCTGAACAATGTGCAGACTCAAGAAAATAGAAGGCAGATGAGAGAAACGAGGTACCGTGTAATGTAATAACCAGATTTCAGAACACTTTTGTTTGTCACTGTTTCCTCTAACATTTTAACAGCAGATTTATTCTTTAGGGTGCTTAAACCTCCAGTAAAGCAGAATGACAACAAACTTGCAGTGTCTCTTAGCAAATTCAAACATTTCCACCCAGTGACACATGGTATCTTTTTTTAATTCATTGTGTTACCTTCAGTGAGAGGCTCTGAAATACCAACATTTAATCTAAAACTTGCTTCAGATTCCCATAATTTTCATTAGAGAACACTGAAAGATTGAAGATCCCCATTTGTCTAAGGTACTTCACATGAAAAGGGCAGAAGGTTTCTTGGCTTGTGCTGGACTGCTTCTGATCGACTTTGTGAATTAAGTGTTTGGCATTAGTTTTTTTCCCACATGGATGTGCTTATAATTCTGTTCTTGTATTAATTCATTTTGATGATAAAAAGACTAAAATAAAATTTTACCATGCACTGCAGTAAATCACAGAATTCACAACTGGGTTCTTAAACACCACTGAGGAAGTGGTCTTTTCTCTCAATTTTCCAGTTTTAACCTCAGCACTGTCACTTGGTCAGGTTGAACTAAATGTTGGGCCATTGCTCCAAATGTGCTTCATCTGCTGTCACATTCTGTGTTAGAACAGCCCAGGTCAGAAGGCACCTGGCAAGATTACTGGTCCAGCCTTCCGTGGCAAAGGGAGCCAAGGTCAGATGACATAGCTCCCTGTCTTGAAAGCCTCAAGCGATGGGCACCCCACCACTCCCTGCGGAGGTTATGCCAGTGCTTGGTGGTTCCCACTGTAAAAATCTTTCTTGTATCAAGATGAAACCGGTCCTGGTGCAACTTGTACCCATTGCCCCTTCTCTTCGCCAGTACTGGAGCAGTGTGACAAGGTCCCCCTGAGCCCTCTGCAGGAAGAAGAGACCAACCCCTTCAGCCTTTCCTCCTGGGGCAGGCTCTACAGCCCTTGAGCATCTTCTCGGCCCTCCTTCGGACCCTCTCCTGAAATGAGGTTATTTTAATACAAGGAAATGGATGGCTGTCCTCTCTTTTGCCTTTCAGAAGCTCTGCTGTAGCTAAGATGCTGCATGATTTTTATGGGAAACCAGCTCTACATGTGACTTTCTTTTTTCAGTTAACTTTGTAGAAATGGCACTAAGATACTTTTCATGGCTCGTCTCATTTATGGTTGGAGAAACTCTCGTTTATCAAGTCAGGTTACAAATACGCATTGTAGACTTGCTAGAAAGTACATTATCCCACAAGTGCCATGTGTTCAGAGACAAAGATTATGGGAAGGAGAAATACCGTACCAAGAAAGCAGAAGCTGGTTTTAGGTATGTTGGTATGAACTTAACCAAGTACCGACTCTTCTCAGAGACCTGTCTGCAGTTTGGGTCCCTACCAAATAGTTCTTGTGCCTCTGAAAACCAGGTCTCTTAGCTTACACAGAAAATGCATACATTTGGCTCTTGGTGGTTCTAGGGGGATAAAGTTTTTCTGTGTGATACATTCAGAAAGATGCCTGGGTTTTTTCGAGGAGATTTGCTTTCTCCAGGTAGTGCCAGGGAGAGCTGCATTACCCAGGGCAGGGGAAGAGCACTGTGAGCAGCACGAGGCAGGTGATCCTTCCCTGCAATGTGAACTGCAACACATAAATCTCCACCTGA